AATGTAGTGTCGGTAGTATGGGCTTCAAACATCGGGGTCTGTGTGTGTGGTATTAGTCGTACCCGTCGTACCCCCAAAGCAAAATCATGGTTTAGTAGGGAAATTCTACATTAAATGGTACCAAAATCATGGGAGGTGTTTTCTTCCCAGGGGGGTGGGATAGAAATATGATCGATATAGGGGCCAGGTTGCGTGTGGGCTTCTTTGCCTCGACTTTGGTTGCCCTGGCTCTTGTTGCCTCCCAAGGGAGGAAATGTCCAGCTTGCAGGAGGAAAAGTCATGGAAAATCCACGGAAAGATCGTGGAAAATCATGAGATTGGAACATCACCTAATGATATCTAGACGTGAAGGATAGATATGATAGATGTCTGGAGGTTTCCTCTGTCATGGGGCTACCCCAACTCATCCAAGTCATGGATGAGCATGACTTTGTTTAGTGAAACCACCATGGTGACTGCGGATCCCCCATGACTCGAGGAACCCTAGAATCTAGAGATGTGGGATGTCCCAATGGAGAAGTATCAGCGCCATGGATAGCATTCCTGAGACTCACACCCATTCACAGAAGAGGGGTGGCTTGACATTTGCCTGTGAAAACCCTGCCATTCTCAGTGATCGGCACCCATATACTCCAATATTCAGCGGTTCTATCATGTTCAATCTGGATCTGCTGCTTCCAACGGGTCATCAGACCAGCCCGGGCGGGAATCGCAACGAAATTCCTCCATGTTCAAATGGCATTTTTTTCTGGTGACTGAATGGTGGTTTTTCATGGGATTTACAGTAATGGTGACTGAATGGTGGCTTAATGGGATTTAATGGTGACGGAATTTACTAGGAATTCCTCAAACCCTTTCTTCTTGGCTGATCCAAAGCTGATTCTGCCAAAAAAACCCACTTGCATTTGCCCGACAATGCAGCATACCCAAACTCTATCATAGAAAAAAAAGGCTGCTTCTTGAAACATGTATGGAGAAATTTTGGGACATTGGGTATCTATACCTATATTCTATATGCATATCTATCTATCTATATATTTATCTATCTATCTATCTATCTATCTATCGTTCTTTCTTTCTTTCTTTCTATCTAACTATCTATCTATCTATCCATCTATCTATCTATCTATCTATCCATCCATCCATCCATCCATCTATCTATCTATCTATCTAATCTATCTAATCTATCTAATCTATCTAATCTATCTAATCTATCTAATGTATCTTATCTATCTTATCTAATCTATCTAATCTAATCTATACTAATCTAATCTAATCTAATCTATCTATCTATCTATCTATCTATCGTTCTATCGTTCTATCGTTCTATCGTTATCTTCTTCTATCTTCTATCTATCTATCTATCTATCTATCTATCTATCTATCTAATCTATCTAATCTATCTAATCTATCTAATCTATCTAATCTATCTAATCTATCTAATCTATCTAATCTATCTAATCTATCTAATCTATCTAATCTATCTAATCTATCTAATCTATCTAATCTATCTAATCTATCTAATCTATCTAATCTATCTAATCTATCTAATCTATCTATCTATCTATCTATCTATCCATCGATCTATCTATCTATCTACCTGTGTGTGTAATATTTAGTCGAGTCATTGATCTATTTAAGTCGTGTATTGACGTGTTTCTTGACCCCGCCGTCAGGATCTCCGCGCCTTCCTTTTCCTGGCTCAGATATTTCGTGTAGCCCACCCGACCGCAGTTCTGATGCTTATCCCAGACCTCCAGCGCCCTCAGCTCTTCCAGGGGCGCGCGGCAGTCCACACGGAACCTGGGAAGATAACGAAAAGTTCGACATGAAAGGTGACACCCCATCCAAGGTGGATTTGCAACATGTTGAAACTGCTGTTAGCTCTGTTAGATGTAAGTTTAAAGCTGTCCTGCAACTTCCTTTCCAATCAGTCGCCTTGCAGCCCCCCCTTTTTCAGCAGATCAAAAATTGCTCCATATGGGACAGAAAAGGCAAGCATACCCCACTTCGTTGCAATTTCAATCAGGAACAAGATGAGTTTAACAACTTGTGACAGGGGTCTAAGTTCTCCGGGCGTGTTAGAAATGGGGGAATGTGATATAGTTCCAATGATTGCTGATGTCCCGGTTGATTGCTCCTGGGTTCCTCAGATTGCCGCTTTTGTTGGTGGTACTGCATGATAGTCACAGAAAGAAAAAGGACGTAATATCGGAAAATCATTCTTGTCAGTTGCCAGGTTCGTGGCGCGCGGCAGTGCTTTCGCCACCCGTGCATTCAACAAAAATCACAGCTGCTACTATTTTTGGGCCCCAGATCCAAAAAATTGGTCTCATTAGTTCCCCCAACTTTTCAGCCATTTCTTCAAGTGAAAAATTATCCATCGATTTTCCCCTGTCGATGACCAGGTCACTGCGCCAACTGTGGGATGGGTCCGACATCAATGAATTCCATGGTCCACTCATATTCCACTTCCCGGAATTCCAAGGTGCAGCCGCTC